TGCATACATTACATCATGATAATGGATACTAAACTGTAACCAATTTGTAGGGAAATTTAACTTATTCAATTTAAATGACATATATGATTTCATTAGTCATCAATATTGAAATGAAGATTGATATTAGAAGTGATCTATGTGTTTATTAAAAGCAGTTCATATATAATGCACAACAGGTAAACACCCACTTTATATATATATATATATATATATATATATATATATATACTTATATGGTTACATCACCCCCTACCCCCTCTATTGTCAAGGCAACATATATTTAAATACATACATATGGATATATTATGATTCCCCCTAATTTGTAATTAAATCAATCATTTAAAAAATATATATATTTTATGTACAATTTCAGTTGGTTACCATAAATTTTAAAAAAAAGAAAAAAAAAACAAGAACGAAAAAATTAATTACCTGTTAGAAGAGGAGGAGAAAAAAACTCTTTATTAATAATGATCATGTTATATGTAATGAAGATTATTAATACAGAAAAAGAAAAATTTATTAGATCCATTTAGTTACTATCCTAATAATAATTAGTATAATTAAAAAGAGGATAGATAATATGGTCACTATCGTTTTCTATTATTGACTTATGTATATCTTTAAAATTTTATTGGTATATTAAAATGAAAAGGAGGAATATTCGAAATGAGAGAATAAACCAGTTTTCTTTTTTTTAAAAACAATTTCTACATGAAGAAGACGAAGAAGAAGGAGAGGGAGGAGGAGAAGAAGAAGAAGAAGAAGAAGGAGGAGGAGGAGGAGGAGGAGGAGTAGAAGAAGTCAAACTGTTAAAATGTTATCTGAAAGAAAAAAAAGTTGTTTAAATACTTTGTGATTATTGTTGGTTATCAAATTCAAATGGCAATTAGTAATAGAAAAATGCTAATTAGATTAGTTTGAAAAATTATAGTTAAAGATAAGTTTTCTTTTCTTTAGGAAAAAAAATAAGTTTTAGTATTTATAACATGAAACTAAGGTAAGTGTGTGTGTGTGCGTGTAAGTCAATATATAAATAAAGATGAATATTGAATGTTGTTAAGAATTTACGGAGATACCCCTTTTAGAAATAGTTATGAATGAAAAAAAAACAAGAAAAAAACTTTTCAGGAATTTATAAAAATTTTTACTAATTAAATATTCCCCATTATTTCGTGAAGGTAATATGTCAATCTAGGGCTTGACATAAAGCTAAATTTTATATTGATTGTTTAGTGAATGGTCTACACTTCTCTTATAGTTTACCCCATTGACTAAATTTAGACAATAGCTGAAAACCCAAAAGCATTGGTTAGATGTTTCATCCCAGCATACGACTTCTTAGAGCTTGATATTCACGATCCCATCTGGATCCAAAACCAAGATCTTCAGGTCTTACAGTAAATACTTAATCTTTAAGAGATTGAGTCAACATTCCATAGTTTATATTTCTAATCACTTTCCAATGCCAATGATAAATGCTTAACTCATACCTGATATAGGTAAACTCTATTGGTTGTTGTTACTCATTAGAAGCTCAGAAATTGCCTCTTGAAGCTAGTTCCTAGTTAGCATTGAAAGATCGTTATGAACTTAATTGAAATTAGTATTGGTTAATGACTGTGTGGTTTTTAGGTTAGGTATTCGCCTTGTGATATGAAGGTTCAAGATTCAATTTCCAGTGGGGTATTGGATGACTACCTCTGAGAAATCATATACTAGAATGAACAAGCCATCCAGTACTTCGTGATTCTCAACGACTGTCTCACTGAGGTCAGTCTGAGATGAAAACTACAAAGTAATATCTTTAAATATATCCATTCGATTAAAAGAGTGTGTTAACATAAACTGACGACTGTTCTCAAATATTCAATATGGGGATGTGGGGATTATTTAATTGTACTGAACTTATGTACCTATCTAAGTTTCAGGTTTTCATTGGCAACCTAACTTAGATCTGTTCATGATTTCCATGGAATTCACTGATCTTTAATACCATACGATAATAATTGTATTATGTTCACTAGTGACCAGCTTCATGAGTAAATTTTTAGAGTTCTAATAAAAAGCCTTGATCACTAAAGTTCAACCGTATCAAATGTGAAGCAGCTACCCATTGAAGACAATAAAAGATGATAGCACAACGTTGTGGATCAATTGAAGTTGCCTATTGGCACCGTTCGCATGAGAAACCAAAGGTCCTGAGTTCAATTCCCACGTTCGGGATCGTGGATGCGCACTACTATGGGGTTTCATACTAGGATGAATCGACCTTCAAATGATCCCATGTTTTCGATAATGGTTTAACTTGGATCAGTTCATTATTTCAATGAAGTTCTCAAATTTGCTAAAAACTCTATAACTGCCCGATAAATTATATAAGTATTTTATCGGATTGTTGAAATTTCACGGAACAATACTGATTACAATTGAAAAGAACACTCAACACTATAAGAAAAGTACCAAGCGTTAAAGGAGTTATTGGACCCTTAAAATCTATGTTTCACTGAATAGTCATATGTGTTTACTAGATGAACTAGTGTTCCAAGAAAAGTTAGTTAATAGCGAATAAGTTATTATTTAATTTATTCTAATTATTGACCTTAATTGGTAAATATAAGTTTTTCTATATATCTACAAGGTTCAGTGATCCACGATTCTTTGTCTTTCCCTCGTTCTTACACATACTTATAAGGTTATTTGAAACATGAGATTAACTCAGATAATCGTTCGGTGATGCTGATGTTGCTGAAGAGATTTTAGAATCTTTCACTAACTTGTGGGATTAACCCGTTAAAGTTTGTCACACTTTCTCTACTGATGGCATCCGACTATTGATCATTGAGTTCAAGATAATAATCCCCCTCCCTTACTTTACTATGGTGTCACAATCCACCCAAATGAATGAGAAAGCCTAAAAATTCCTCTCAAGTAACTTTATCGATAAATCCTAGAAGGCTAAATTTCTAAAGAGAAAACAAACACCTGACTGACTGAATATATAAATATATATTGATTTAATTGACCCCTAAATTGTCACAATTGATAATACTTAATGAAATACAACTGATCTCGAGCGGTTGGTTTGCCTATATAGTTGGCTCCACATGACATGTAAAAAACAAAAATGACCGGATTTCGAACCATATCCTTTGTTAAAATCTGCAGCATACGATTGGTGGTAAAAGTATTGTGTAATGAAGATACCAATTATTATTTTATTTATCGAGCATAGCTGAGTCAATAGCCGTAGAATTTAAGACTCATGTTTAATAATATTCAGAACTCTTCAGCTGTATAAACGTGCATTAAAATGTTTACTTTCACGATGAGACTTGATCCCGGTAACTTCTGCCTCAAATTCCAAAGAATTATCCACCCCCTTGAACCACGTTCCAATATGAATCCTAACTCTGAGATACAAGTATCTCTAGCTGACGGGTCTCAAATGTAGTGAAAAGCGAGTCCTAAGTTCCACTACTACTATCCATCAATTCCATGAAACTTGTCACGAAATATACATAACGAAAGAAGCTATACTAGATCCATATATAAGAATAAAGACTGACCGAAATCAAGTCCTGAATATCAAACTCTTAGTAACAATGATTTAGTAAGTACATATGTGTATTGAAACAGGTGACTTGACTAGCTGTTCATAAAGTATTTGGTTTGAATAGTATGACTATGAATTGCTTGAAGGCATCATATTTAAGTAATTAACATCGTAGATGAACCGTAGGTTACAGCAACTTAAACTAAAATCTCAAAGTAATCAAGAAATACGAAAAACTGTAGTTAAAAATTTGTGATATTCTAAATTACCATCTCGTTGTTTATAGTTGAGACATCTACCTTGTTAAATGAGTTCCACATTTCAATTAACGGTAAGTTCTTTTGAACAGTTTGATTAGTTGACATTTTTCCACGGCTCTTGAGTTGACATTGATTATTGATAATAACATACCTTCCACTATGTTTAAGGTCTGCAGATAACAATATTGGATGTAAGGACAATGTACTTAGATCCTTAATATGTCATAAACAGACTTAGTTCAAGATCTCTCCATTCAGTTGATTTGTTTGCCATGTTGTGGGTTTAATAGGTTGTTAGAAGCCTTCTATGATTTAAAAAAAAAACACTACTCGTTAGAAGAAAAAGATCCTGAAATTGATTTCATGAGTCTGTGACTTTTTGTAAACTTTCAAGAGAATTCTGGAATACGATGAACTGTATTCCCATTATCCTGAATGAACAGCCAGTAAATTGACTGCTACATCATTCATCAAGAAGGTACAAATATTTATAAACAGTTGTCTACGCAAAATACTGAACATTCACTGGCCCAATACTATCAGCAACAGCGTTTTATGGGGGAGGACAAACCAGCTTCCAAGTGAAGAGGAAATTAGGAAAAGACGTTGGAAGTGGATCGGACATACATTAAGGAAATCACCAATGTGCATTACAAAGCAATCCCTAACTTGGAATCCGGAATGGAAGAGGAAAAGAGGAAGGCCAAAGAACACACTACGCCGGGAAATAGAAGCCGATATGAAAAGGATGAATAGCAACTGGAAAGAACTGGAAAGGAAGGCTCAAGACAGAGTTGGATAGAGAATGCTGGTGAGCGGCCTATGTCAAAGAACACATCACGCTGGGAAATAGAAGAAGATATGAAAAGAATGAATGTTAACTGGAAAGGATTGCCCAAGACAGGATGGAATGGAGAGTGCTCGTGTGCGACTTATGCTCCTTCACGAGGGGTAACAGGCGCAAGTAAATTGACTACTAAGTATCCTACGGTTTTGCAGGTTTTCAAATTCTTAAAGTGATATGTAATATTATAAATTCGTTTCCTTTCTGTTCATAATTTAACTTTCAAAGTGTAGTTACATCTATACTTTCAACCTCCAATTTAATCTTAAGTAGTAAAAAAGGTCCTAGCAACATGTAACTTTCACCAATTCAACAATTATTTTGAATTATTTATATTTTTGTACATTCATATATACATAAAATAATTAGCAATGAAGTGTTATTTGATAAGCTTTACTACTATGTTTAATAATAAGTAGTATATATTATGTAAATTCGCTATGATAATTACGATATTACTAATAAATTCAGTAAATAATATTCATAATTATTGCCTATAGTTTCAAATATTATGTTCCGTTTTATTTAGCTACTGAAGACTGAAGATTATGATGATGACGATGATGATGTGACAGCTCTGAATTATTCATACAATTAAATAGATTTGAAGTAAGCGAAATGTTATCATGATGATTGAAATCAATAGGACGTGTTCCTTTTGCTTCATCATTATCTTCTTCTAAACTTGATGACATTGAATGTTTTAAATTTGGAAATTTGATTTCATTGCCAAGTTTTAAAAAATGATGCATATACTGTGATGATTTCAATGGTTTGACAGTTTCATTCATTTGAGCAGATTGACTATTCAACTTACTATAATGATCATGACGATGATTGCGGTAGTGTTGTTGATGATGATACTGACGATTTCGATTTCGATTTGAAATTACTGAATCAAAGTTACCTAGTAATTCTGATGGAGGCATTTTTGAAATTAAATGTGGTATTTCAATAAAATTAAATATATTCTTTATATCATCATTGATGTGACCTTGTCCATCATGTTGTTGTGTTCTTTGCCTTTGATGTTGATGATCTGAATAATATTGCACAGGTGAATTCATTTCAAAAATGGAATATTTTGAATGTTCAAGAGATGTTGAATTTAAAACATTGAATTCATCTAAATGAGTTTCATTTTGAATGGAATCATCTGAACTATGATTTGATGGATTTAATATTCGACTGATCAATCGTTTTTTAGTTTTATATCGTCTATTTTGAAACCAAATTTTCACCTATTTTTTGTTGTAAAAAAAGAAAAAAAAGATATTTATTAGGAAGATATATCAGGGAGAACTGGAACTGGAACTTGATGAACTACTTCAACCATCGTCAAAATGGTACAGCTATTGATAAATATCTGTCTACGCACGATATACCAGATCTATTGATCAAGGCCCATCTTTAATAATCTACTCTCGTAGTGAATAAACTAGCTTCCAGCTAAGGAGATTAAAAAAGACACAGACTACTGTAAACTGTAAAGTGCATTGCAAACCAAGCCCTAAATTGGGGTCCTCAAAGTCAGAGAGAAAGAGGAAGATCAAAGAACAAACGATTCCAAAAGTCATAAGGTGACATGAAAAGGATAAATAAGAATTGAAAAATACCGGGGAGGACACCCCAGGACAAAGTTGGTCATAAATCTTAGGTTAGCAATCCATACCTCATGAGGAGTAGCAAGCTTAACTAATTAAAATTATTACGCAACTCATGTAAACAGAACAAAAATTTATGCATATGTCATTCAGTTCCATAACATATCTAAAGGGTTACCACTTTTATTGGCCTATTCAAAATTGAAGATAACCGAATATGATTGAAATCTGTATCAATAATAAGAGATGAAATCCAAATGTTTTGATTTTTTTAATAAAATAGCCAAATATATGAAGACATTTAAGAACATAAATAGATAAGAGTTAACAGACAACCGCATGCCTGTTATGATAGTAATGATGAATTGTGTTGTAGATTTTTCATCAACAAAATATTAAAGTTTGGTAAATTGTTCTTGCCGTAAATCTACATCTGTTGAAACCATGCAATATCTCAACACTTGTTTTAGCATAGTCTAGAACTCATAAGTATTGATCATTTACTACTCGAACTGAAATCTAGCTTAGAATCTTAAGATCTGTCGGTAAGTATTATTGATTTCAACAACTAGATAGAAATCTAGGAACCTATTTCAAGAATTCTAATCACTGAATGGAACAATAATCAATTTATTGGTCATCAGTACCAGTCACTGATGCGAATGTACAACAGTTCACATGGAAACTAATAACTTCCACAACTAATTAACGATAGTAATAAGGACCCATGTTTATCAATAACAATATTATAAAACCATTCAATATAATAAAATAATTATTATTATATCCTAACTTGACAGCCTTTTATGAACTTTTGATATGAGTTGGATAACAGTCTCACACTCGACACAGATTGAACTCCGTTGGTCACAGCTTCTCACTAGAACTCTAGAAAATCCATCTAGAAGCTAGTCACTAGAGAGCAAATGATTATTACTGATTTCTTGGAATTGGATCTTTTTTAATGTCGAAGACAAAAATTACTATGTAGTTTATGTCCTAGAAAATAATTTCCATTAATCAATTCGAATTGCTTGAAATTTCTTTGACCATAAACTATTTACCTGCAAATTTTCTTATGACTTTCTTTGTTAAAAGCAAACAATGACATTTAAATATTGTTAAACGACCTCATTATGAAAGAGCTTTACACTATCATAATAGAACAATTAATGTATTCAGTATATTTATCCATTTTATATCATCAACTACACTTCATTTCAAGGTGTTAACCGATTTAGTTGTAAAATGGATGATGGCAGTACAATTCCTATGGATCATTATGTTGACTGAACAATTTGTTAGTCACTTGTGGAGAAGTCCTCAAAACCATATTTTTATTCACCAAAACATTGGACATTCCACAGTTAAGTTCAGAGAATGCAGAATTAAAAGAATGCTGAAAGAATCCATCTATTACACAGACCAAGACACATAAAATCAGCTTTTTGTAATTGTAAACAAAAAATCTATATAGTACTTCTGATTAAAAATGTAAAATTTACGGTTATAAACTATGCTGACCTTACCCTGATCCTTCTGTGAAAATTATTTTATTACCATTCACTTATATACTAATAATAAGAACATTGACATACATACACAGCGAGACAACTTACTTGAGTTTCAGATAACCTCAATGATCTAGCTAATTCAGCTCTTTCTGTAGCCGATAAATAACGTTGATAATTAAATCGTTTTTCTAATTCATAAACTTGTCCATGTGAAAAAGCTGCTCTGGTACGTTTCCGTCGATTAATGCCAGTTGTTGATGTTGACGTTCTTGTTGTTGTTGGTGGTGGTGGTGATGATGACCGTATTGATGTAATTCTAGATGTTAATGCCTTATTTTTAACTCCCCCTACTGTTGTTGTTTGTGTTGTCACCACTGTTGATCCAGCTACCGTCATCGGTACAAATGGTAAATAGTCTTTAATTGAGTTTATATTAAAATAGACTTGATTGTTTAACTCATTTACTATATGACCATTATTATTACTGCTATTATTATTGTCAAGAGAATTTGCACGTTTCTCATCAGCATCATTATTATTAGGTAATGCATTAATTCCACACTGTGTAGGAGTTACCGTCGTCATAGAATTGCTACATGATGAACAATTTGTATTCAATGATATGTCTTTATTACTCTTGTAAATTGAATATAATAATCCATAGGCTTCTAATTTTTTCATTAATTCAGTTAAATAACCATTATTATTATTATTATTATTATTATTATTATTATTATTGATGTCTTTACAATTTAAATTATGCATCGTATATTTTTCCTTCCTATTTAAATCTGTATTACAACTATTCTCATTCATATGATCAATGTCCAAGTGTTCATTGTTACAATAATTCAATGTACAATGATTTGTATTGTTTACTATAATAGATTTATCTTGTTGTTTATATAAATGATTTACATTTGAATTTTGCAACAGAATATCAGGAATTGATTTGAAGGAGATGAAATGTGATAATAATGGTTGTTGTATTGTAGTTGTTTTAAAACTGTTATTAACATCATTATCGTTACTAGTTAACTTAGAAATTGACTGTTTTGAACTCTTCAATTCATTGATATTCTGTGGTAAAACTAAAATATATAAAGGTGGGTATAATATGTTAACTTATATGATATTTTATAGAATTGAGATAATGATTCAATTGAAGCTGAACCACAATGGAAAACAAGGAAGCACTGCACGGCTGTTTCGTCCTATTGTGGAACTCCTCAGCAGTGCGCATTCATGATCCCGCCTCATGAGATTCGAACCCAGGACCTACCAGTTTCGCGCCAGAACACTTAACCCATGACATTGGTCAATGGTTTCTCAATTTCGTGAACTGGTTGAAGTTAAACACTAACACCGTTGTATGCCGGCTCAATGGTTTAAAGGTTAAGCTCTCGTGCGTAAAACTGATAGGTTCTGGGTTGGAATCTCGAGAGGCGGGATTGTGGATGCACACTGCTGAGGAGTCCCACGATAGGACGAAACGGCCGTGCAGTGCTTCCGGGTTTTCCATGGTGGTTCAGCTTCAATTGATTCATGATCTCAACCATTAAAATTACTAGTTTTTAGTTAATGTCACTACTTGTTCAACAATTTTAAATTCAACTGATGTCCATTTATGTTATTCTTATGTACCATTAACTTTTCATTATTATGCAACTATTTCTAGCTTTTCGGTTTTAATTTTTGTTATGAATATTGCAGAATATATTTCTACTTAGTCTATTAAATTTATACATTTGTCGCAACGAATTCTAACCAAATTTACTGATATAAATGTTTTCAATCCAGTTAAGAATTTCAATGTTTAAATAGTACACATTTTAAATAGCTGAGAACTTAGTGAAATAAAGTGGAATTTTACATTATTCTCTTGAGATCTTTGTTCTTCTTCTCCACAAAATATTAATCGAATCGAATAATTGTCAACCCTCGAAACTTGAGTAAACTATTTATTCTGCTCTGTAATTGTCAGCCAAGAGCAAATATGTTTAAATATCTTTTAATACTTGTTAAACAATCGTTATTGAATGAAGTCAACTCTCTTTTTAAGAAATAAAATATTTAGAGCTTACAGGTTCATGAATAATTTAAACCAATCTCACCACTAAACATTGTTGAATATAAATTGGTACAATTGTAGAAATTTATGGAATAACAATCAATACTAACCAAATTGTCAGTCATGATGAAGATATAATCACCTTGGAAGAATGATAACTCAATGTCGAGTAGTTTATCGCAACTTTTTAATGTTAATAATGACTAATATTGCTGAATCAGTTGTTTAGACGGACACAGTGTATGCTCGTAACTTAATCATAATCTGTTTACTTTTATATTCTCTTAATTTGAACTCCCATATTAAATCAAATTATTAGATTTCATTTTAAAATATACTAAAAATATACAAGACAGCTTAGTTGCTAGGTTAAAGTGGATCAAACTAAAAAGTCATAATTAAGCTCATTTATTCTATTATAGTTCAGATCTTTACTATGCAATCATTGTGTCAGTCAAACACAGTCGATATAGACTATTCATATTGATGATAAATACTCCCTTCCTTTTTTTCAAAAATAACACAAATGAAATGATATCATCTACATTAATTATAACTTACATTCATATTTAGATTCTAACATATTCCCGAATAGTATTTGTTCATTATCCATCAATGAAATATCCTTTGATGAATTGATTAATTTAGATTCCAAATGTGATACATTATTATGATTGTTATTGTTCTTAGATGATAATGAAGTTAAACTTAAAAATGTATTTAATACAGAAGTATTATCCAGTGTTTGTTCTGATCCTTTATTAAAATGATCTTGATCATTTATTCTTTCTGAATGTGTATCAATTAAATTAGCTATGGAAAAAGAATCCATCTGTGTTTAGTACCATACACTGTAATAAGCAATTATGATAGTAATGCTTAATTAATGATGATTCTACTATTTATAAAACGTTTATTATCAATGATACTTTCACTAATCTATTCATCTTTACACTTCACTCACCTTAATACTATAATTATTAGTAATAATAGTAAAATATTTTTCCCCTTTCAGCCGCATAGATATATGGCAACTGAAAATAACCAATAAAATTCAAGGAATTAATTATATAAATGAGTGGGTGGAAGGGGGGAGGTAAATCCTAAAGTCTCTCTATTTCTCAATATAATTGATTTTAATTATTTGTATTAATATATCATATTGTCTTAATTGCAAGTATGTATGTAGTGTGTATGTTTGTATGGTGGAGATTTGTAAGTATGTCTGTTGTATATATATGTATGTATGTATTCAATCATAGTGACTAGGGTTAGCGTGAAGTGTGAAAAAAATGTCACAACATAGAGTTGATCTGTAAATTAATTAGGAATAAGTGAACAATTATCATTTCGATTGGTTAATTAACGAATATTAATAAATTGGAATCTTCTTCTCCTTCTTCTCCTTCTCTTCTTCTTCTTCTTCTATGAGTTAACTTTCTATAGAAAAATATAAGAAATTCATACAATCAGTTTCATTATTTATCCATCTTATTTGCGATTGGATGACAAAATGTAAATAATACAAAAGTTAGAAAAGAGAGAGAGTAAAGTAGAGAAAGTGATTTTATATATATTTACTTTAGATATTTCTATTGGGTAATTTTAAATATTCTTTAAGAGAGAGGGATAAACAATTTAATTGAAAGGTTGGTGAATGTAAATTGATATGAAAATGAATATAATGAATCGATTATTTGAATATGAAGTTTTTTATCATACGTTAATGTGATTAAAAAATACATTATTAATTAGGCTTCCATCTAAATTAGTAGTAGAGTTACACTAATAACTTGTAGGTCAACGTTTCAGTATCTCATATATATATATATATATATATATATATATATATATATATGTTGGATGCCGGCTCAGTAATCTACAGGTTAAGCGTTCCCGCGCAGGACCGAAGGCCTCGGTTCGAGTCCAGTGTTTACACTTCTGGGGAGTCTCGTAATAAAACGAAACATCCATCCAGTGCTTCCAGGTTTTCAATGGTGGTCTAGCTTAGATTAACTCATGAATTCAACTATTATAATTACCACAATCTCCACAAATCTCCATTCTGAAAATAAATAGGTATTGAATACTGAAGCTTATAAAAAATAATCTAATTTATATTCGTTGGCAAACATTTTCAAAATCAAATGATTTTACTATATGATGTAATCTCTATCAGTCAATTATAATCAATCTGCCAACCAATTCGGTTTGTGTTTGTAATAACACTTGGTTTAAACTTATACCCTCATCTTCACCTTTGATTTAGTCTATTTTTCCTAATGACAGAAATAAAAATAGAACGTGAATTTTAGAAAAACGCTTTCAATCTCACATCATCTCACAACAATCGTCTTAGTAGATAATATTTGTTTACGACACCACCAAGCCAATGCCTTATGATCTAATCATTTAGGCTTTGAAATTTAAGCCACTCTATGATATAATGTGACTATCGTTATTTGTGATAACTTACTTTCTTACTCGTGACTTTTTTAACTTCAAATGAGACTGAGCTATTTAGTTCTTAATAATATTTTAACTGATAGTAATCTGTTGGGGAAAAATCTGCTCATATTTCTACGAAATTTCCGCTAAATCATCTAAACAGTTTTCTTAAGTTTGTAATACTTTTCCTATTGTCCTCATAAGAAATATATCAACTTGCACTGATATACTACTGCAAATTCATTGAGTCAACATATAGAGATAAGTTTATTTAATATCTTTTCATACCAAGTGGACATACATTTATGCGCCTGAAGTTTCCTATACACCTGTAGTGTGGGCCCCTATCAGGTATTTTCGCAGATACTTCTCCAAAGTTCGATAATCTATTACCAGTCTCTCTCTCTCAGAAACACAATAATACTCAGCTAGCATCATCCCGTGGTGAGTATTATATACAAATTCGGATTATATTAAATGTAGGTTTTTTGTTGACGGTCAAGTAGATAACATACAATTCTCTTAATTCCATAGTTTTTATCAATAAATATAGTAAGTTAATTAACAGGACAATTTTACAATGGATTATAAAAACAAGCAAAAAATTTATTACGGAAAGAGATTAATTTGTGAGTTTTAATTTGAGATATTAATTATGATTATTATAAATAAATGTTGGATTTGTTCTGACACATCCTCATCTAGTCACTAAGGCTCAGAGAAAAGGTGTGAAAACGTGTTGGCATGAGCGAATGAATGGATAAGTGAATAGGTGAAATCGATATGACAATTATTTTTAATCATTTTCATATAGTAATTATATCTGACTCACATGTTCTCACATGAATTTGACATACATACTGATGCATAACATGCACACATACACATATAATAAGTTGAATACTAACGATAATAACCCAATGGAGAACATGATCATTTCTCAATGATCTCATATTTGACACCATAATTCATTTTAATTATTAATATTCTGAGTTCGATGATGTAATACTGAAATTTGCATTGTCATTATTCAAGTTGTTATAAGATAATAAATAATAGTCTATTGATATTAACTGTATGAGTTCTATTGTTTGATTTAGGGGTTAGTAACAAATATCATATTGCTTAAATGTAACAGATTCGAAATTTTCATGCTAACACTTCGAGTCGTGACAATTGAATTGTCCCGGTTTCATGCTACTAGTGATTGTTATTGATTAGTTCCATTGGTAAAAGGAAGTAAGTTTCGTCTTCTTTCTAACTCATCCGTTCACTTTTTCTCTTTTTCTTTACACGCACCCGAAAATATATCAGACTAGACATGAACTAATAAGCTAATCTATGATGATGGCTGCTGTATAATAATTATATTTTAAATGTAACTACTAAGAAGAACATTTTATGTGAGCGATATACTTTGATTCATGTGTGATTATCCAAAGCAATTAAAAATAAACTATAATTTTCAATTATTTGATCATGTGCACATCTAAAAAGATATGGTCAACAATTTGAGAGGTTGATTGTGTATTTTAGGAAATCAAATATGCTCAACCTTTTTCATAGTCGAAAGCATGAGTCGATTGAAGCTAGACCACCATCGAAAACATGGAAGCACTGGACGGCCATTTCGTTCCATTATGGGACTCCTCAGTAGTGCGCATCCACGACCCCGCCTCGAGAGATTCGAACCCAGGACCTATCAGTCTCGCACCAGAGCACTTAACCGATAGACCACTGAGCCGGCATCTAATGGTGTTAATGTCTAACTTCGACTGCTCCACGAAGTTGAGCAACCGTTCACCAATTGTTTTCAATGTGTTTCTACCTCACAACAGACGTGATTTGAACTCCACTGCTCAACCTTTTTGTTCAAGCTTTGAATGACCTCTTGAAAGGTTAAATAACATTTTCTCTACATAATTAGTTATGAGTAGTAATCAAAACCACTATGATAAGTAATCAGTATACGTAGGATTTCAAAAACCGTAGTTACAATCTAACCTAATGAATATTTGAAGTCAGTCAACAGGTAGAAGTCAGTGCAAGAATAGAACTACAGCTGATTAATATACAACGACAGATAAAAGGTTATTGTCATGCAGCAGTTTAGTAAATAAAATTCTAGGATTAACGACAGTTAGCGTGTAAGCAAAGATGGATAGTAACTAGCGGTGGAACCCAGGACGCGCATTTCGTTCTATTTAGGACGATGTTCACTCTGGGACTCGAACCCGGTACCTTTCGCTTCAAACGCCACGGCGTTATTCACTCAGCTACTGAGTCCTGACAGCCACTTGCCACACGTATGCCAATAAGAGACTGACCAGTTGCAGTCTTAAACATCAATAGGAAGATTCAAACAAACAATACTAAGTGAATTAGCGTGTAAATTTCAAATCTTAGTGGAACGCGACAATAATAATGAACCAAAATATTTCAAAATGTGTCTCTAAAAAACAAAGAAAAAAGCATTTTGAACTTGACTAGTAGTAACTGTCTAATATAAACTATACAATAATATAAGTTAGACCGAAAAAATTTGTTCAAGAATTTCTTACGTCAATTAAAAAGGATTAACCAAAGTACAAGTGAAAACCAATGAGCATTAGATCATTAACTTAAACTAATCTTTACAACTGTTCCCAATTAAACATTATTCGTATTCTGATTAGTGACTGGTTTTGCATTAAATTTCCATAGTTCTAGTTAAAATCCACAATTTGTGGAGTTCAACCATGCATGACAAGAATTAGCTGTTTGCTCGCAAATGAAATTATACAATAATTGCTTAATATTGACAACCGACTAAAATATGAATTTCAAACGATTGTATACTAATTCAGATGTCCAGAGTTTGATCTCTGATAAGTTTATTAATCCAAACTACTTAACACTTCTATACAAAGATAAAATGTCTACCTTAATGCTACTTGAACTTCATTGATACTCCATTTGAGAACAGAAATCTGTAATTAATACAACATACACCTTTTATCTATTCATTATTTCTTTATTCTATTCGTTTCCTTTACATCATTAACATGTATTGGTGCATGTATCTATGTGTACATGCATATACGCATACATGTATGCTTAACATTTTATTTTATTTTCATGATTTACATTCATAGAAATAATTTTACAAACTATTTACCATTCAACACTCCATGTTTCCCTCCCCCCCTCACAACACAAAAAAATTGCTCAGTTTTTTTAATGACTTAATTTTGTAGCCATTACTTTAGTTTTTTTTTAAGACTATTAAAACCAAATTGTTTTCTTTCTCATACCATTTTTATATTAATTAGGGAATTAAATGATTCGTTCGGAATACCGATTTATTATTATTATGCCTTTTAACAGAGTTGCTATGGTTTTACTAACCTTCAGACATTGATATATAATAAACAAAAGTATTATATATATATTCTTATTAATATTTATTAAAATAAAACTGTTCGATGATTTCTTATCATGATTTATATGAAAAGCAATGATAATAGTCGATTATAGT